GATGATGGGGCACTATTCCTCCCACTGATACCGATGATGGGGCACTATTCCTCCCACTGATACCGATGATGGGGCACTATTCCTCCACTGACACCGATGATGGGGCACTATTCCTCCCACTGACACCGATGATGGGGCACTATTCCTCCCACTGACACCGATGATGGGGCACTATTCCTCCCACTGACACCGATGATGGGGCACTATTCCTCCCACTGACACCGATGATGGGGCACTATTCCTCCCACTGACACCGATGATGGGGCACTATTCCTCCCACTGATACCAATGATGGGGCACTATTCCTCCCACTGACACCAATGATCGGGCACTATTCCTCCCACTGATACCAATGATGGGACACTATTCCTCCCACTGATACCAATGATGGGGCACTATTCCCCCCCACTGACACCAATGATGGGGCACTATTCCTCCCACTGATACCAATGGTGAGGCACTATTCCTCCCACTGATACCAATGATGGGGCACTATTCCTCCCACTGACACCAATGATGGGACACTATTCCTCACACTGACACCAATGATGGGGCACTATTCCTCCCACTGATACCAATGACGGGGCACTATTCCTCCCACTGACACCAATGACGAGGCACTATTCCTCCCACTGACACCAATGACGGAGCACTATTCCTACCACTGATACCAATGACGGGGCACTATTCCTCCCACTGACACCAATGACGGGGCACTATTCCTCCCACTGACACCAATGACAGGGCACTATTCCTCCCACTGACACCAATGACGGGGCACTATTCCTCCCACTGACACCAATGACGGGGCACTATTCCTCCCACTGACACCAATGAAGGGGGCACTATTCCTCCCACTGACACCAATGACGGGGCACTATTCCTCCCACTGATACCAATGATGGGGCACTATTCCTCCCAATGACACCAATGACGTGGCACTATTCCTCCTACTGCAAAATTACAGTTATGAAGTAGCAACGAAAATAATTTTATGGTTGGGGGTCACCACAACATGAGGTGTTGCGGCGCTAGAAAGGTTGAGAACCACTGTTCTAAAGGCTCAAGAGTATTTTACCTTAATGCATTCTCTGCATTAAGGTAAAATACCTTCTGGTCAACAGGATTCCCCTCCCCCCATCCTTTATACTTACCTGAACCTGATCTTGATCCAGCGCTGTGCATGAGAGCAGTGTCTCTCTCCTCTCTTTCTCTCCTTACAGGGCAGATTGATAGCAGCGTGAGCCTTTGGCTTCTGCTGCTGTTAATCAAACCCTATGATGAGGGAGTAGGAGACTGGGTTGAATCCCACTGTCTGTGTCTATGGACTCAGGCAGCAAGGCTAGTGAGTGAGCCTGCACAAGTGCCCCCATAGGAAGTCGCTACCTATGGGGGCACTTGCTGTAAAGGAGGAGCCATTAGTGCCGACGGTGGACCCCAGAAGAGGAATATTGGATCTGCTTTGGGCAAAACCATTGCACAGAGCAGGTAAGTATAATACGTTTATTATTTGAAGAAGAAGAAGAAAAGTTGAAGTTTACATCCATTTTAAAGCTTAACACTATTTTTAAAAATGTTCTGTCCCCATCCATCTACCCATCCTGCCTACCCTGTGTAAAAAAGATCTATAAACTCACTTTTTTTAGTGAGCTCCAGTCTGGTCATTCTGCAGGACTGGCTTCTTGTAGCGGTGAGCAGCAGCTGCAGGAGAGAGGAGGGAAAACTAACGCACAGGGTAGGTAGGATAGGTAGGAAGTGGAGGAAGGGTTACATTTTTAAGAATAATTTGTGCTAGGCTTTAATTCCACTTAATTTTACTTTTTATGGTCACAGAGTCACTTTAAAGCACATTAGCTTTTACCATCCAGGAGGACTAAACAGCTTTGCAAATATAAAGTTTTACCTCTGCCTTCTCTTTCCCCGTGTTTGAGAGCTGTCATCACAAGCCTGGGCTTAGTGTAAATATTGTATTGTTTCAATTCAGCTTGTCTGCCCTGCACTGTATCCGCAGACTGAAAACAAGAAGAGGATCTGGACCTCTGATACTTCAGTGCCCTAAGCCTGGATTTGCATATATGCGGTGCGGTATATCGCATGTGATTGGCACAGGAACCGGACCGCATTCCTGTGCAAATCACGTGATTTGTGTGCGGTGCGATTGGATCCATACATTTTGTATGGCTGTACCCACACGGAAGAAAAATATATTTGAAATATATTTTTAAAATATCTTCCCAAATATACAGTTTTTTATATATTACATAATATATGAAAAATATTTTTAAATATATATATATTTTTTGAAAATATATTCTTCAGATTTTTTTTAACATATAAAAAAGTAATTTTAACATATTTTTACATATATTTGTAAATGCATTCCAAAAATGTAGATTAAATGTATTTTTAAAGACATACAGTATATTTGAAAATGTATTTTTACAAAATATTTTTCATATATTTTGTAATAATAATGCATTTCAACATAATATATATATATATATTGAAATATATTGAATACGGCCAAAATTGTAGTATTTCAAATATTTGTCAATATATTTGGGAAGAAACTGTTTTAAATATATTTCAAATATATTTTTCTTCCATGTGGGTAATCGCACCGCACCAAAAAGGTGCAGGACCCTTTTTTGGGTCAGCACTAGAATCGGATCGCATGCGTAATCACACCTATGTGATCCGATCCTGAACCAGGGCTGAATAATGATTTTTTTTTTTGGGAAAGCCTAGAGGTAACCTCTGCATACATATGGCTGCAGTGTAGAGAGCACATGTATGCAGACATGAGAGAATGGAAAGCATAGGGGATCCCCACGATGTGCATTCAATTTTCTACAAATACCTTATCTTGAATACCATTGGATGAATACGATTACAGGGCTGAGCTAAATGCATGCAGAGCTGTCTTCTTCCAGCAGCTTCTGATTTGCACAGAGTACATGAGTGCAGTGCAGGGGTGTATTTAGGTTTGTGCTGCCCTAGGCAACACAAAAATCGTCTCCCGCCCCCCTCCCCCACACAGAGAGACCCAGACACCAATCAACACCCCCCTTCCCCACAAAGAGAGCTTGACATTGACTAACAACACCCCCCATACACTGGCCACTCCCCCCGGCAAGAGAGCCTTCACAGCTCCGGACATTCCCGGGAACAAGTCCCCATACACTCAAGCAGCCACTCTCCCCCTTCTGGTTCCCATGCTGCGTGTGTCCCTTCTTCTGTCCCTTAAGGGGGGGCAGCACTGCCCCCCTGAAAAATGCTGTTGTCCCCTGAGAAATGCCGCCCTAGGCAAATGCCTTGTTTGCCTTGTGGTAAATACGCCCTTGGTGCAGTACAGTACAAAAATAATTTCTGGTTCCCGGAGACATTGGACCACACAGAAAAAAGGAGCATATGCCTTCCCTTTTCTCATTCTTGGTCTGCAGTTACAGTGTAGACCGCAGACAGACTGAATATAAAAAAAATTATTGTTTACTTTGTCCAGGACCTGGGATGACAACTCTCAAAACATAAGGAAAGAAAATAAATTTTAATAGATTGTGTTTTCGAAACTGATCTGTTATCCAATAGCCTCATGCATAGAAAACCTTAAAAGGATAAACGTCATTGGCCAAAGCAAACAGTTAGGTATACTTTCCAGCAAGAAGGGGACACATACTGAAACTCTGGTTTGACAGTATATTTTTTGCAAAAGGATTCAAATAGGATAGGATAACAAAGCAACCAGCGCAATGACATCATCACATCCTTGATGTCATTTTCACTTTTTCAAGCTTTGCAAATGCAGTTCCGGGATCAGATTTCAGCAGTTTAAGGCTACTTTCACACTGATCACATGTCCTTTAAAAAATGCACAGCAAGCGCGGTAAAAACATCGCAACACAATGCATGTGCGCTTTTGATGCATTTTGCCAAGTTTTTCATTGGTTTCAATGGGGAGGTGCATTTTTGTGTTTTATTTTACTGCACCAAAAATGCAGCAAGCAGGACTTGCACCGGACCTGCAACTGATCAGTGTGAAGAGTTCCATAGGAATACATGGTCACAAGTTCAGTGTGAAGGTAGCCTTAAAGTAAAATAAATGCTGAAAATATTATAATGTAAACAATGAAAAATAAATAATAGCAAAATAAAAAAAAAAAAAGAAAAAGAAAACAAGAGTGGTATTCTCAGGCGGCTAGTAAAATATGAATAGTTCATGGGGCAGTAGTTCAGCTGCACTCTGGGGAAATCCTTTCTGGGACATTCTCAGAAGATCCAAGGGATAGCTATGGACAATAAGTGAGTATTATGTGGAAGGATGCCCTAGTCCTCTCCCTGCTTCTGAATCAGACAAATGTGCACATCGAAAACTGGATACGGAAAAAACACAATCAAAGTAGATCCCTAAACTCTCATATAATCTTTCAGATGTTAATGTCATTTCATTGTTTTCAATCTTTTTGAATACACAGCTTAAAAAAAATTATATTTTAAATGCAAATGATATTTTAAAAGAATGTCAATTGTTTATGTAGCACTCCCCTCTTAGGGGTTGCTGATGAATTTGGGACCCCTATAGTCCTGCACAGCCAGTTAGTTAGCATTTCCCACACAAGCTTTCATCTGTAGACAGAAATCAGACCTTGAGTGTTGGTTTTATTTTATTGGATTAAACTTGGATAGGGTAAAGGGATGCATTGGATGCTCAAGGGAACTGAAATCTGAGGACAACTTCCTGAACTATTCATAGCTTCTCTTCTCTATACAATCTTTCCAGCAGCTCCAGTTGTACTACCTCAGACCCTAGATGAACTCCTCTTCACCCAGAAATCTGGACACTTTCTTCCTGAGCAGGGGATCTAGCTCATGTTCCCTTAACCACTTGCCTACAGGGCACTTATACCCCCTGCCCAGGCCAATTTTCAGCTTTCAGCGCTGCCGCACTTTGAATGACAATTGCACGGTCATGCAACATTGTACTCATATGATACTTTTATCATTTTTTTTTTAGACAGATAGCGCTTTCTTTTGGTGGTATTTAATCACCTCTGTTTTTTTTTATTTTTTGCTAAACAAACCAAAAACAACTGAAAATTTTGAAAAAAAACATTTTTTTCGTAGTTTCTGTTATAAAATTTTGTAAATAAGTGATTTTTCTCCTTCACGGACGTGCGCTAATGAGGCTGCAGTGATGGGCACTGATAGGCTGCACTGATTGGTGGCACTGATGAGGAGGCACTGATAGGCAGCACTGATGGGCATTGGCAGGCATCACTGATGGGCACTGAAAGGCAGCACTTATAGGTGGCACTGATTGGAACTGTTAGGTGGCACTGATAGGCAGCACTGATGAACACTGATAGGCCGCAATGACTGACACTGATAGGCGGCACTGATAGGCAGCACTTACTGACACTGATAGTTGGAACTGAAAGGCAGCTCTGATATGTGGCATTTATGTGAATTGATGGGCATTGACAGGTGGCACTGATGGGGCTACACTGATAATCAGGGCACTGCTGATCAATTTAGATGTCCCTCTGAGGAATTCCGCTTACCAGCTCTCCTTTCCTCACACGCTGTCAGCGTGAAGAGAGGACTGCCGATAACTGTCATTTCCTGTTTACATGTGATCAGCTGTGATTGGACACAGCTAGAGTGGCTCATTGGTAATGAAAATAACCCAAATTGTTAAAATCTTCATTTATTCAAAACAACATAAAAAACTAAAAAGACAAAATGTATTGTAGATCATAGTTACATAGTCATAGTTCTCTTCATGCACCATGAACCAAATAGTTACATAGTTAGTCTGGCTGAAAAAAGACAAAAGTCCATCCAGTTCAACCATTAAAAAAAAAAAAAGAAAGAAGTTATAATCCTATACCCACAGTTGATCCAGAGGAAGGCAAAAAAAAAACCCAGCAAAGCCTGATCCAATTTGCTCCTGCAGGGAAAAAAAATTCCTTCCTGACCCCATGATAGGCAATCGGATATTCCCTGGATCAACTTTACCTATCAATGTTAGTATCCAGTTATATTCTGTGTATCTAGGAAAGAAGCCAGGACTTTTTTAAAGCAATCCACTGAGCTGGCCAGAACCAACTTTTGAGGGAGTCTATTCCACATTTTCACAGCTCTCACTGTGAAGAAACCTTTCTGTGTTTGGAGATTAAATTTCTTTTCCTCCAGATGTAAATAGTGCCCCCTTGTCCTCTGTGATGACCTCAGGGTGAATAACTCTACACCGAGTTCACTATATGAACCACTGATGTATTTATACATGGAGATCATATCCCCCCTTATGTATTATACATGGAGATCATATCCCCCCTTATGTATTATACATGGAGATCATATCCCCCCTTATGTATTATACATGGAGATCATATCCCCCCTTATGTATTATACATGGAGATCATATCCCCCCTTATGTATTATACATTCATATCCCCCCTTATGTATTATACATGGAGATCATATCCCCCCTTATGTATTATATGTTGATCATATCCCCCCTTATGTATTATACATGGAGATCATATCCCCCCTTATGTATTATACATGGAGATCATATCCCCCCTTATGTATTATACATGGTGATCATATCCCCCCTTATGTATTATACATGGAGATCATATCCCGCCTTATGTATTATACATGGTGATCATATCCCCCCTTATATATTATACATGGAGATCATATCCCCCCTTAAGTATTATACATGGTGATCATATCCCCCCTTATGTATTATACATGGAGATCATATCCCCCCTTATGTATTATACATGGTGATCATATCCCCCCCTTATATATTATACATGGAGATCATATCCCCCCTTATGTATTATACATGGTGATCATATCCCCCCTTATATATTATACATGGAGATCATATCCCCCCTTAAGTATTATACATGGTGATCATATCCCCCCTTATGTATTATACATGGAGATCATATCCCCCCTTATGTATTATACATGGAGATCATATCCCCCTTATGTATTATACATGGAGATCATATCCCCCCTTATGTATTATACATGGAGATCATATCCCCCCTTAATCTCCTCTTCTCAAGAGAGAATACATTCAGTTCCTCTAATCTTTCCTCATAGCTGAGCTCCTCCATGCCTCTTATCAGTTTGGTTGCCCTTCTCTGTACTTTCTCCAGTTCCTCAGTTTTTGTGAATTGGTGCTCAAAACTGAACTGCGTATTCCAGATGACATCATACAGCAGGGAAACATTCTTTTCACATATTTGTGTTCAATTGTCACATATTAAATGGTCATATTACATAGTCATCGCGTTTCGTGGTCAAGGACCGCTTCTTCAGGACTCTGTATTAGTATATGACACATTTCTTGTAAAGCCTTATTGTAACTCCAGAGAGGAATGGAAGGACAGCAGAAATCCCTGAAGTTTGTTTCAAAGTAATCCTTTAAGAGGAACTGTAGTCACGCACGCCTTTCCAAAAACAACCCCCAAAAAAACAGCAGCTCAATTAGGAACTAGAAGCATTTTTAAGCTTACATTTACCTTGATAAAATAAATGCCTTTTATTCATCCCCGCTCTGATTCTGTGAGCGGCCATCTTCACTGTGGGCAAATGAAGCCCTGGCCAGAGTCTTCCAAGAATAGTCAGAATTGTTCCTCTTCTCCATGCGACTGAAAATCTCACGCATCTGCATTAAAAACCTTCGGGTTGCTCATGCGCAGTAAGCACCGTGTTCATAGGTTGCTATAGCAGCGGTAGGGAACTTCTGCTGTTGCTGCTATAGCAACATGTACACAAAGAGCTGTAAGTGCATGCGCAGCGCCTCCTATCTCCGCCCCTCATCTGGCCCCCTCCTGCCCTGCAACTCTCCTTGTCTCTCCTGTGACTTTCCCCATCCCTCCTCCACTCTCCCTGCCCCCTCCCTTACTAGCTAAAGCCGGTCATACATGGGTTCAATTCCCAACGAAGAATTTTCATTCAAATTTTGCACCATTAGTGGGCCACAGCAAAGGCCAATTTTCAAGCGATCATTGAATTTGAGTGATCAGGCATGTCAGAAATTTTTTAAAAAACAAACAAATTTCTGATCAATGATGGGAGAACCGAGAAATGTAATAGAAAAGGAAATGAGCATGAGCTATGATCTGGAAGGAAAAGAAAATTCTTGACCACAAAATTATTATTTTCTGTAGCAACACAAGGTGAAATGAGCGGCTTGGTTAGTCGAATTTCGAAATCGATGGTGGCACCATCGGATTACAAAACGCACAAAATTTCCGATTTTCTAAAAAAAATTTGTTCGAAATTTGACCCATGTATGGCCTGCTTTAGGCAATATTCAGCACAAGGGTGTCTTAGGAAGAGGGAGAGAACCCTTGAAATATGTCCTGAAAAAGAGGCCTTGACTGTGAAACGCGTTGACTATTTAATATGACCATATAATATGTGACAATTGGACACAAATATATGAAAAAAAGTTTCCCTGCTGTATGATGTACAATGAATTTTGTCTTTTTAATATTTGATAGTTTTTAATGTTGTTTTGAATAAATGAAGATTTAACAATTTTGGTTGTTTTGAAATTAAAAAAAGTATCACATCAGTACTCAGTTGTTTCTGTTGCAAGTGCACTAATACGGCTATAATCACCTCGAGCAATCCTCGATCACCCAGTTTCCCTTTTTTTTTTTTTTCTTCTTTTATTAATTATTCATTTTTTGGGCTGCTGATTCATGGGTAAATAATGGCTAAATACCCGCAGAGTCCTTTCTACAATTTTATTGTATTTTTTTTTAATTTATATTTCAGGTTCTATCTCAGACAATTAATTGATGACCCCCTGAGGAAGACTTACATGTTGAAACGCGTTGGGGTTTTTCTCAAACAATTTATGCTCATTATTCCAATATTGTGTATACAGCATGTAACATCTTCTTTTTCATGTTTTTAATATACTTTGCATATGTTAGGGTATGCTTAGCCCTTGGGGGCTTTTTTATATTTTGTATGAATAAAAAATGTGGTATTTTTATATTATTTCTTTGTCATATATTTTGGTACCTTAAAGTTCCTAGAACGGTTTCCCATTGGTGGTTTTTACCTACATAGAATGTCTGGAATGTGGTACCTTTATTTATTGATGGGAAGCCAGGAACAGACTTTATTTCTAGCCCCTTTCACAACTGTTTCTGTGGGCAGCACAGTGGCTAAATGGTTAGCACTTCTGCCTGACAGTATTTGGGTCATTGGTTTGAATCCCAACCATGGCACCACCTGCCTGGAGTTTGCATGTTCTCCCTGTGACTGTGTGGGTTTCCTCCCACACTCCAAAGACATGCTGATAGGTGAATTGGCTCCTGTCTAAATTGGCCCGTGTATGTATGAATATGAGTTAGGGACCTTAGACTGTACACCCCTTGAGGGTTAGGGACTGATGTGAATGTACAATATATATGTAAAGGGATACGTAAATTGACAGCGCTATATAAGTACCTGAAATAAATAATTACAGTGGTTCTCTAAAGGTTGAAGCTTTATTACCTTCATACACAGTAAAAAGCCTTCAGTGTGCAGCTCCCCCCTATAGTTACCCAACCCGATCTCGATCCAGCATTGTGCACAGGAGCCTCAGCTCTCCCGGAACTCTTTCTCCTCATTGGCTGAGACACAGCAGCAGGAGCCATTGGAGCTGTGAGTCCCATAGACTCACAGATGCGGTTCGGGAGGGAGCACACACGAATGCCCGCCGAGTAAGCAGCTTGCTCTGTGGGCACTCTGCAAGGGGGAGGGGCCGGAATCGCCAGCGGTAGACCCGAGAAAAGTAGGATTGGGGCCTCTCGGTGCAAAACTATTACACAGAGCAGGTAAGTATGATGTGTTTATTATTTTAAGAAAAAAAAAATCGAGGCTTTAGAACCACTTCAAGCTTTTCTCTCCTTTCCATAGCCTTGGGCTGCAGCGATATATCACAAGAAAACTTCAAGAGCGCAGATACTGATGATAAACTTCAGCAGGCACAATG